CCCGTGAGACCTCCGACCTTCTGAAGTATCGGGACCGTGTCGAGAACGAGGCGCAACGCTCCTCCTCGAGTCGTTGAAGCCGAAATCCCGGCTCACTCGCCTAAGTAGCCTCGGCCTCGAGATCGGTGGGGTTTATCCCTCGCTAAAGCTTGGTCGTGTGTAGGACGCCTGTTCCACTAGCGGGCAACGCTCGGTCGCCTACGGCTACCATCGGCGAAGATTCGCACGGTTCTGACAATTTCTATATTCCCATCATTGGTATAACTTTACAACGGCTGGACCGTTTGGGCTGAAAATTTGCATAACTATAGTTTCCTATTTTTCATAATTTCCGTGTAAATTTCGTTGTATGTTTTAATCATGGATCCTACGTAAACATCGTCTTTTCCCTGAGCTCGGACTTTTGATGTCGCTATTCCCATTATTGGATATCTCATTAATGCGTGATCCTTTTATTATAAAAATTTGGGTGGATTAAGATTAGATCCCTTCCTTTCTAATGGGCTATTAAGCTCGTCTCGGTCATTACTGGTTATTCTTCGCGCTTGCTTTTTAAGCGTTGTCCTCGTTTTGCAGGAGTTTTAGTCATATCTCCGTCGTTTATGGGTAGTTTTCCCTGTAATTACTTTCATTTGGTCCCTTTGGGGGACATCTACATTTCCTATTATAAACACGCCTTTGAATTTTGCATTAGTTCCTGAGGAATCCTTGTTCCGCGGTACTTCCATCCTTGGCTACGTGTGCGGACGTGGGAAAGTAGTTTCCATGGAGGTTCTCTGATTGTTTTTATAGTCAAATCTTGGTCGATTGTCCTAATTCTTTGTTTAATATTTGCTATAAATTCCCCCGAGAATTCTGTCTTGTTGATGCTAAGCTTGAAGTATTTTTGCTAATTTTCTTTCTTTCAATTTATCGTGTATAATCGTAATAATTCGTAAAAAAATTCATTAAAATTCATTAAAGTTCAGGTCCTTCTATTTTCTCATATCTACTTGTCATATGGGGTTTTGTGATTTATCTGGCATATTTCCATAATGGGTTTCCATAGTGTGTTCATTATTTCTCCTACAGCATGCAGCATATGCCCTCGGGATCCCCCATGGGGACACCCGGGTGACTATGGCTGTATGTGGGGTGACATGGCGGACCTCATGTGACCCAAGCCGCATGTATATAAACACACCTGGGGTGGGAACCGAAGAAGTAACCTTCTTCTCAACATTCCCACTTCAGGTAAGTAGTATAGTTTCCCTTTTAATAATAACTCAACATTCCCACTTCAGTCTAAGTGGCCAGGGATCGCTGTCCTGCATCAGGCCTGCCAGTACGCACGCCCGATCTACCCCCTGTGAGGTCCTTAGCACCGGACGCTATGCCCGGACCGCCTCGACCCCAGATGCGTCCCTGACAGCTTCATTCTTATGTTGGTGTCCCAATTTCAGACAGAAGCCTTACGATGAGGAGAGGAGTCTAGAGGGGGAATCCAAGTCGATATACGAACTGAGGTACATCCGGTGTAACCTACACGCGTTATAAACACAAGTAACTAAATAGGACCAGCCCGGAAGGAGTGGCGGATCAAGCACGATATTAATGAATGAAGAAGGAGACAAATAGTTAATATCAGAAAACTTGGTCAACAAAAGGCAAGCAAGAACAATGAGTGACAAAGGAGGAACAATAGTCCGCAAGTGGACAAAAGAGAAAAGGCCATCCGGCCGTCTAGCAAGCCATCTGGCTGGTGGGCGGACAACAATGACGCAGGCGACCTAGGTTGGAAGCTATGCATGCGGGGGAGGAAGTGCAGATGAGGGTGATGGGTGGACAGATGGATGGACGGATGATGATGATAGCGGGCAGGACAGGCCAAGTGGCACTAGGACGCGTTGACGGAAGTGACGGATATGTCGGGTTGTGACAGTGCTCCAATGCACCAGATCAGGGCTAGACGTTGCCAGAACGTGAAAATTTGAGCAATACAAACAGGGATTCAGATTACATTACTGGGGTCCGAACTGTATGAGCGAAAGGCAAAATTTGAATTGGAGAGTGAGAGCCTGACAATCTCTTGGACAGTACTCCCATCTACACCAGGTCCCACTCCATAGAAGGAAGGAACTATGTTCACAAGGTGTTTCTTGAGTTTAGACCTCCATGACTTAATGTCACGGGCAAGCTTAGTGGGAAGATTCAGCAAAGATGATCCATTCCAGTGGGGATGTGTCAGGGATCGCTCGTCAGTCCGAGTCGAATATCGCCTGAAAACCTAGTCGTAGACAAAGCTGAGGTTCCAACCCTCAGCGGCACATAGAGCTATATACACGAGTGACATCAATCAATCGGAAGAGATAGGATCAAAGGAACTAAACAATGATCCGATAGAAAACGAAGTGAATAGAGATGAAGGAACACTCGGATCAGGGGGCAGAGTCGGATCAGGAGGAGGTGAGGGATTTACGATATATGAGGGCCGATGCGGCTACATGCGGTGATATAGTCTTATGCGATATCGATAGGGTAACAGAGAACCGCTTACGCTATGTCCCCTGACAGGATGACTTACAGTAGCGACTATACTATCCTGTATCTAAAACGGTGGAATTCCGGATCTGCGGAACATGTCTTGGGCAAGTCTCTGAACAACCATATTACAGTCAACATTTTCTATAAAGAGGTCATCTGTTATTGCAAGCAAGTAGAAGTCGGCGCGTATGTGTTCAAAAATGGAGTTTAGCAGGGGGTCCTTCTTCATGTTCTTCCTCAGGACTGCCTTGGTACGGCCAACATGGACCAGTTTCTCCTCCTTGACATCCTCACAGGATTGGAGGGAACCGATTTGGCTAGATAGGACCAAGCCTGGACTGTTGAACTTGATATCACTGCCACTGCCACTGGCTGGGCCTTGTGCTAATCCCTCAGGGATACTATTCCTACCGTCGCTGTCATCATCATGGCCAGCAGTGATACTAAGTGGTGATGGTTGGCGACTGCCTGTTGCCAACTTTGCACTGAGACAAGTTAGAGCAGGAGATGGGCACTTCCGACAATAAATTAGTGGTTTGGGCAAATTCCTAGGGGATCCCTTACCCAATCACTCATTGAAACTGGTGTTAGACTGCGTGATCCTGGGCGATTAATGGATAAATCTTGAGTCGTGACTCTAAGGGTGTTTTGCCATAGCCGCAGCTGATACCCATGACCAGTGATAAGCATACTGCCAGTGGCAGGGTGCTCCATGACCTGTATACGCCACAACCCTGAAGTCAGCTCCATGCTAGAGTACTAAAGGCTACTCGCTGTATGATACCTCTCCATTAGCAGCAGAAACATCTGCTGTAGTGAACTCAAAAGTTGGAATTGCTAGTTCAGATGGAAGTGTAACTTAGCATGAATGTAGATCACAAACTTGTGCTTATTGTCATATCCATACAATCCCAACCTCCGCTCCGGGCTCCCGGAACTCCGAACTCCGACTTCCGGAGCCCTACTTCCCTTCCGTCACCTTCTCCTTGCCGACTCCCAAGAGGTTACCCCACCTCCGGCTCGGACACCACCTTCGGTCCGACTCCAGAACATTCCGGGTCCGACCCCAACCTCGACACCTTCCAGACAAGTATGCAAAACCTATGCTCCCGACTCCGGACCTCCGCTCCGGTATCCCGTTCACATCTCGTCTCCGGAACCTCCGGTCTTAGCTCCGACCTCGGACTTTGACCCCACCTCCGCTTATACCCATTGTATTGGTTAGCTCATTCCATTTAATTACCTTTGCCAATATTCCGGAGTTTAACCTCCAAGTTCGGACTTTCCGGACTTACTCCGGACCTTGCAACTATTGCATTGTCCATTTCAATTCCGCTATTCTCCCTCATTCCTATTTGGGCTGCTGCTTCCTTTCTATTCAGTCAGCTAGCCATTCCCGACTCCCATCCTCCTTCCTTCCTTCTTGGGCCTTGGCCCTTCATTCCTCCTTTGGGAAACACCATTAAGTCAAACACTTGACCCTCGGTGTTGTTCCTCTTTCCATCTCCCTTTGTCTCCTTTTGTCCTACCCTTGTTCCTTTTGATTCCGGACCCCTCCTTATATACAATGTACCTAGTAACTTGTAACCTCAGTCCGAAATCGACTTGAATTCCCCCAAGAGACTTTCCCTCTGCTAGATCTGAAATTAGGGACCCCTAGGACAACCAGCAATGGCACAGCGCTCCGCCTGAGTCGCTGAGGCCAAGGTCCTTCCATGCTAAGTCTCCGATTCCATTCCAGAGTCATCCGAATCCGCCCATTCTAACACTTATACAACTTACAGCCACTTGTGCCCAAATAGGGTGGCATCCAATTGAGTTGTGTGGATGGGGCGGCATTTTCGCCAGAGGATACCTCATTAAGATATTAGTCAAGCACAGGTCCCTGACAAAGAATAGACGTACCTTTGAGGCTGCAGGGCCTGGGGCAGCTACAGTGCCCTTATAGCAGTCATGGATGGTTGCAGGGAGAGCATGATATCGAGCCCGAGCAGTCTTCCACTGGCTGAGATTATCTTGTGTCGGGGGTGTCTGTGTTTCAGGTGACACCACTTCCCTGGTCAAAACCGGGTGTACTAAGGTTCCTTTGATATTTTGCAATGTTAAGGAAAGATAAGTGTTGCGCTCACCAGTACTCTCTGCAGCAGTTGGCTGCACAGCATCAGGGTTGGAACTTGCCTCCTTAGCGGCAGCTTGCTTTGTGCATCGAGTCTCCCAAGCCTTGACAGCAGCATTGCTCCTTTTACTATGGCGCACCTGCGATTGGGGTGGAGGCACAAGGGGATCTGTGACATTTTTGGGATCCCTCTTTTTTGTCTTAGAAATTCCAGCTGAGGAGCGTGTGTGGCTGCTCATGGTCCGAACTGAAAATCACTGAGTTCGAAATTGAAAGGAAGGGATGTGTGGACTTAAGCTAAATTTGATTCTCCCAACTTTATTGTAAATGGTTGCAAATTCAGTTTAAGTCCGTTAACAAAATGCTCGCGACCCCCCTGCTCGTTGGGAAGGGTTATGAACACTGCCCATGGTGTCTGAAGGTATGTCAGCACAGGGGTGGTGGGCTGGTAAACCATTTGCGTCGGAATGGTTTCTGTCGGAAAAAAATGCAGCATACTGCTCGACAAGCTCGTCAATATTGAAGACTCACCCCCAAGCCATCCCAGGATGCTTCTCAGTCTGAAAACGGTGACTCTCTTAGCTGCGATGAAACCCTCAGTGACACTCACTTTGGTGGAATAGACGAGAGTGATCAGGATGACATTACAGGTGGTGAACAAAGAAATTCCCCTGGACTTGGGGACGATCAGACATGCGTTGAGAAGTCACTCCCTGAACATGAAGATCTCCATGCTAATTTGACCAGGGTTGTGGACCCTTGCACTGGAAAAGTCCTCCCAAGTGAGGTGGAGACACTCTGAGACAAGCTTGCCAGAAGCCTATGAGGTGAGATTCCCGGGTATCTCCATCCTTGGACATTCCCGTTCAACTCAAGATATCGACTTCACTGATGTATTTTCAGAAACCTGTTGTCTTACACGGCTAAGGAGTGTATCCATTCTTGGTGGGTTCACTTACGACATGAACTAACGTGACGGTTGCAGAAGAACACCAGGATCGCACTTGGCAAAGGCTCGAGTAGCACAATTCTCTTGCCGACCTGCGATGTCAAAACTCGAGGCAAGGACATTGCATCAGACCAACTTTCTTCTGTCATCACCAATGATGAGATGGAACTCGTTTTGGGTCTATTCGAGAAGTTCAACAAGAAATACCCTTTCCTTCATCTTGATATTTGTCAGAACATGAGCCGCTCTTCGCCACGCCCCTATCCCCAACTTTTTTCGCTCAAGTTTGGAAATCCATACCCGACATATGCATTCGTTATCAGAGGTGCAAACCCGAAGGTCTAACATGTTTACCAATGCACTGACACTTGCACATCCATACTAGCAACATCAACAACCACTCTATTATTATACAATGCTAGTCGACTGTGTCCATTACGCTTCCATTATTTGTGAGTCCACTCAATTATCTGTTGAGGTATGTACCCTGCAGTCACTTCCGTCAATAGACCCCTTGGCTGCGCTTATCTATGTCCTGTAGATTCCCCGGAGCAAATGCAGGCGCTAAAAGGACTCCGTGTATTACTTGAGAGTGATCTCAAGGCTTTAAAAACACTATGTCCCACCCTTCTGCAGACCGCTGTGAGCATGCAAGACACAGTGTTCCAGAGATGGACAATCGATTTGTTTCATTTTTCTATTTCCTTGAATTGCCTAAGTTTTGAAATTCGTACACAACGTATGAGCTCATTATCAGAGGCGCAAGCCCGAAGGTCTAACGTATTTGCAGTGGCACTTCAATGCGCTGACACCTGTGCATCCATACTAGCAACATCAACAACTACTCAATTATTGAAACATATTATACAATGCTATGCCCAACTATACCCCTGCTCTTCCGTTATTTGTGAGTCTGGAGTTGGTGACTCATTTAATCGACACCCCAATCCTGATTGTGTTTCCCCTGTCTAGGTGTATCAACCGTGCTAACCGACAACCATGGGATGTTCTTTCCATCACTAAGGGTTGCATTGTAGAGTTTCTCGAATCCTCTCCCCCAGCTCCAGTGGGAGTCCGTCTAGCAGTGTTGAAGTTCGCTCAACGCGTAATCTTGGTCCAGACACAGGGTGTTAGCGACCCTCGAGTAAGCCCATCAAGGACTAACTGTCATGATATTCCTTCTCAATCTGATGTTTCTTGCTCTTGTGCCAGTTGCAAAACAAAGTGGACCCAAACATTTCGCTCATCCCCTCAGATCACCCATTCATTAATGCTATTGCCCTTGAAGCCGAGGGAACACAATTACTCATGCTCGTTACGACAATTCTTCATAGTTCTTTGTATGTGATATCAGGTAGTTTTCCCCAATCACCTTCCGTTTATCACCAATACAGGGACTCCGACTCAGTATCCGCCATCATCAACTCCTTTGGCACACTCGCAAAGGCCCATCCACAACTTCTCCAGTTTATTATTGAAGCCACCTCCAAATGGAGTCCCGCTAAGTTAGCTGGTCAATCCACTATCAAGATCCGGAGTGTGGAGAAGTCTATATTTATTCTCCTCAATTATCTGTTAAAGTATGCGCTCTGCGGTGACTTCGTCATCGAGTTGAAATCTCTGAGAATGTGTTCCTGCAGGTTAGGTGTTGGTCAGGCCTTTACCATGGATATTGCGAGGGCCTTGGAGCGAATCTCTGAGCGTATCAAGCAAATAATTCATGCTGAATATGGCCATCAACGGCTGTGGCAGAAGCAGAACGTAGACGAAGAGGGCTGCATCAACGCCTTTTGCATCTTGCACCCAAAGCACGTAAAGCTGGAACTCAGCGGTCCTGACACATCCTCTGCAGTTTCTGCACTTGCCAATTTCAATTTTCAGGACTCATCCACCGAACTAGTTACAGGTTTGATCATAGAAAAACTCAGCACTTCTCTGTTCAGGATGACTGATGGAAACTCTCGTCGTACATCATGCATATGATACGAGTTTTAGAATCTCCTGCACCTTGAAAGCTGAATCCAGCCATGCAACTGTGGCTACATCAAAACCATCAACCAAGGAAGCACCATGGAAGTCCGACGTGGATGATGAGGAGATGTACTCGGACATCATGAGCTTGACATAAGTTCCTTGATCTCTTGACAGAAGAGCTGATTGTGTCCTTTCTACCCAGCCAGCGGAGGTGTTTCAGGTGGCTCAAACCATTGACGATTCCGCTGAGGCCGACGAGCTAGCCCTTCAGCTACAAAGCACCACATTTGATCCACTGCTGCCCCAAGAACTTGATATCGTACAGGCAGAATCCTTCATACGCTCTGCGAGGTTCATATCTCAAAGACTGGTACAAAGCAGCTGGAGCAAGCACATACAAATCTCATTGCAGTCCTGTCATATCCATCCACAGCCATCATCTTCCACTACCTCCAACCCCTCTGGACTACCTCTGCTCCTTCTTCACTAACCTCGGAGCTCCCGTATTCTGCAATCACCTCCACCTCCCTCAATGGTCACCACCCCCTCTTTTCAATATATTACCTGCACCTCCCTAAGTATGGAGCCCCAAAGGCCTCCAGACAGCTCCGACGTCCGCTGGTGCACTCTGTCAGGGCACACCCACCTGACCCGGCCCCACCCAGCCCCACTTCACCCGGTACCCCGCCACCCAGTCTTCCCCTACCTCCTCCCCCCTTCTTCTTTCTTTCTTTCTTTCTCCATTCCACTCCCTCTTTACTTATTTCACCTTCTCTTTATTTTCTCTTTATTCTACATGGACAACCTTTCCTTGTATCAATGTACCATTGACCCACCCGCAGCGTGCTCACGACACGCCCAGCCCAGGCGCCTCGGGCGACCCCCGCTATGTCCAGCTCGCGTGTTCACAGCGGACGCCCTCAGGATCCCCCACAGGGACACCCGGGTGACTACGGCTGTATGCGAGGATGACGTGGCACCCGTCATGTGACCTAAGCCGCATGTATATAAACATACCTGAAGTGGGAACCGAAGAAGTAGCCTTCTTCTCACCCTTTTCCACTTCAGTCTAAGTGGCCAGGGACTGCCTCCTGAGCCAGGCCCACCAGTACGCACGCCCGCTCCACACCCCGCAAGGCTTCTAGTGTCGGGCGTCTCACCCAGGCCTCCTCTACCCTGGACGTGTCCCTGACACACTCCCACCCCCACTGGACAATTCACTTGCTTGCCCTGCAAGTCTACCTTCAGGTCTATCCCTCCTTTCCGTTTCTGGGTTATCGCCTGCCATTCTGCTAACCCCATAACCTGACTTGTCAGTAATATTCAATCGGCTAATGTTTAACTCCATTAGCTCCGCTCCGCTCGGTCCTGCCATTCACGGGCCTGCCTTGATGTAACTATATATATATACTTAACTTGTAGATAGGTTACACTCCAGTGATAAAATCGACTAGAGTTGATCCCCCTTTAGTTCTCATTGCCAGTAAGTAAATTAGGGCACAGACATGTAACTTGGCACAGTGCTCCTGGTCTGAGTCGCTGAGGCCGAAGCCCTCTGCCATGGAGACAACTCCTTTGTCTCGATCCGGTCTCTAACAAGTCCCTCATGATGCTGAATCTACTCCGAAGCTGGAACTAGGGGCAAGCAATGATGGATTATTGAGACCAATACCATCGCATGAAATGTGGATTTTACTGTTTGTGTGAACTGTCATGCATGGTCAATGAAGTTCTATCAGCACTCTGGCAATGGGGGATTCGGGCACACAAGGGAGGGATAAGCAAGACAGTGCAGTCGACTAGACTGAGCCAGCTTTATCGGTTGGAGGGTGAAACGACAGTCTGTGGCAAATGATCTGTAACTACCTTATGGAGGCTTTCATGTCAAGGTAAGTGCATCCTCTGGGATGAGAGCCCACCTTGCCATGGTCCAGAGGCTGCTCCAGTGCCCAATGTGGTTAGCTGGCTTTGGCTCTAAGAGGCTCTCTTGGGTACGCGAGTGGACGACATAGATAGTGCTTATGCATGGCAGCCGCTCGCGCAGCCGTTTCTCATTCTCTGTGCGCCTCAGCGTGTTCTCCAGTACCTTGCCAACCTAGCCACCGATCCTTTAACATGAGTTTTGGATCCACTGGAACACTGACTAACAAGAATAATTGAAGGTTTTAAGGGCTGTGCCAAGCTTCAATGCTTTGTGGGACTCCACGCTCTTGAAACCTCAATGCGAGGCAACGCACTTAACATTCTGCTTCAGGTTCAATTTTTCGGGAACCCAGGGGCCTGATCTTCTTTGAGACATGAAGACGCACATTGTGGCAATAAACGCGATCAAAAAATGGGTCTCGGATGTGAAGCCGCTGGGTAAGCTTGTCCAAAAATTTGCTATCAAATTATTGAGACTACTAGAAACATGAACAAGCCCCTCCAAATCTAATGCTAATGGAGCAACTGCCCAAAACACCAAGCTATTCCCTTCGGAAGTACTCACCATTGGGATGCAACAAGTCTTGGACAAACCGACTCTACCTGTGTTGTTCATGTGAATGGTATGTTTACAACATGGACAAACATGATGTTGAATGGCTGCAGAGGGACGGCAGCATCGCCCTTAGTGAAGGCTCAAGTAGCAGAATTCCCACTGACTCTCAATGTCAAAACTTGAGGGACACCACATCGGACCAACTTTTTTTGTCATCACCGAGGACGAGATGGAACTCATCATGGTTGACACGGGGACTGTTGAACAGTTGTCATTTAAGGTCACTCAGTCTGCCGGTGTTTCAGCCCTATTTTTGTCAGGGATCAGCAATGACCCTGGACCCTATGCCGGCTGTGCATATGCGCATGGGAAGTATGCCGGTAATTCCCGTCTACTCTGCTTACCTAAGCCCCAGTGACCCGGATCATCTCCAGCATTGTTCTGGAACATTCTATGATCACGTGATTCTATCGGCAATCCATTTGGTTTCCTTATTGCCGGACTCTACATGTATATAGCTGACCCTAAGATGGGGACATCCCTTTCCCCCAGCTTTAATCACAACTACATCAGCAAAAAATTGTTATGCTCCTGAGTGCTCCGGAGTATCGAGAGCACTGGGAGAATCAGGAGGAGATTGGCCGGTCCAGGAACAGCCCATTTCCTCCGGAGTTGGCTAGGTACTCCAGGGCACTCCCAGGAGGGCCTGGAGCATTGCTTTGTGCACAAACATATCCAGTAAATACAATTTAAATGCTTCAAAGTGTATAGGGGTGAGAAGCTTCTGGGAGCTCCTGGAGCATTTGAAAATGAAAAGGAAAAAAAAAAGAGGGAAGATCCCCCATGAATACCTCCTACCACAAGACTAACACAACAAGACACTGCTTAACATTTAGATCAAACACTATACTATATATCAAGGACACTGAGACTCACCAATACACAATCAAAATTTATGGCCTGATATATGATTAATCTGGCAACTTAATCACTTTCGGGCTGGCAGAATATGGGGGAGGGGGAAATGGGGGAGAATAGGGGGGGAAATGAGGGGGAAATGAGGGGGAGAATGAGGGGGAGAATGAGGGGAGAATGAGGGGGAGAATGAGGGGGGGAATGAGGGGGGGAATGAGGGGGAGAATGAGGGGGGAATGAGGGGGGGATATAGAGGGAAATGAGGAAAATTTGAAAAATAGGGACTTCTAAAAAGTTGAAAAAAATAATTAGGGAAAAAATCAAAAAAATTCAGGAACTGTAGTGCCTTTGAAGTGCTTTCAGGATATATAATTATTTGCAAAATCGAGGAAGAAATGATGGAGAAAAATGGAAAATACTTTCGGAGACCCGAGAAATAATGAGAACTGAATTGATGGGAAAGTCTGAAAATTGAATAGGGAAGTGAGGGGAAGCCTTGTAGCATTGTTATTTTCTGCTGTTCTAATTTTTCCTGATTGTTCTTGGTCTCACTCCCAGCTGCTACTGGATACTCCTGGATACTCCTGGAAGCTCCTGGGAGGGTCCAGGAGGAGCTAATGGAAAATACTTTCAGAGACCTGAGAAATAATGAGAACTGAATTGATGGGAAAGTCTGAAAATTGAATAGGAAAGTGAGGGGAAGCCTTGTAGCATTGTTATTTTCTGCTGTTCTGATTTTTCCCGATTCTTCTTGGTCTCATTCCCAGCTGCTCCTCAATACTCCAGGAAGCTCCTGAAAGCTCCTGGGAGGGTCCAGGAGCAGCTGGGAGTGAGACCAAGAACAATCAGGAAAAATCAGAACAGCAGAAAATAACAATGCTTACAAGGCTTCCCCTCACTTTCCTATTCAATTTTCAGACTTTCCCATCAATTCAGTTCTCATTATTTCTCGGGTCTCCGAAAGTATTTTCCATTTTTCTCCATCATTTCTTCCTCAATTTTGCAAATAATTATATGTCCTGAAAGCACTTTAAAGGCACTATAGTTCCTGAATTTTTTTTTTTGATTTTTCCCTAAATTTTTTTTTTCAACTTTTTAGAGACCAAAATTTTCCTCCCACTGCTCCTGGCACATTACATACTCCTCACCACTCCCAGCTGCTCCTGAACCCCCTCCCAGGAGAACACTATTGGCTCCAGGAGTGCCCAATCTGCTGTTTTGTCTCCCACATGCTCCAGCCACTCTTGATGCTCCGGAGCATAACGGACTTTTGCTGATGTAGGTTATCAGAGCATCTTGCACAAGCACGCACATCCCCTGACAATTTTCCAGTTTCTGTAGATTCATGTACCATGCGTGGGAAGTAAACATACATAATTGTACATTGTGTAGCAGTGATAGAGCTGATTGAGGCTCAACCGACACATAGATTGTGTTGATAGAGCAAATTGAGATGATTGAATTGCTGTCTATCACTTCTATTGACCTTCGAGGTTTGCTGATGTGTCAAGGGTAATAAGTGTTGGAATTTGTACACATGGTCTTGGGAACCTTAATGCTAAAATATGGACATTCTGGGAGTCAAACCACAGAGCCCTGCATAGGTACCAAGCTAGTGTGTTATCATTACACTAAATGCCTGCATTAGGCAGAGGTGGTTTCTAACAATAAGAAGCCCAATGATAACCGACGGGGACAAATGAGTCTGTGCGCAATGGCCTTGAGCGATGCAGAAAGGAAACAGGGTGCTGCAGGGAATAGACCGTAAACGACGGATTTTGGATATGGCCCCTATTGTAATGGATAGGATGTCGAGCCCACAGTGCAACATACGGTCATATTGGGGGGCTGAGTGCGTCGAACGACGCATGTGTCACTCACGGCGCTTTCAACGATTTGGAATGCAAGAGATGCGTTGGCTTTACCCAAATGCCCGTTTCTGGGGACATCTATTGTAGAACAGACCAGGTCAGAGGGTGATCGGAATGGGACTATGGTAGGCCACAAAACAATAGTAAATACATGCTTCGAGGTTGTTCCTCCAACATCTATCTCCCCAGATTTAATTGCTGTAATGGAGGAACGACATAAACCGGGTCGTGTCCTCAATTCAGAACTCTCGGTGCAAGTCGGGGCTGCCGCCACGCTACATCTCCCTTGAGCCACTCCTGCATGAAGACAAGTAACTGGTGATTCTCGACGTGGAATACTCCAATATCCGAGCTTGGATATTTGCCTCAAAGTTATATCCGAGCAATATACTGTACTCACACGACCAACTACCGGTCACGCATCACAGAGACCTCCCGGTCCGGTCGAAATTCAGGGTCTGTCACGCGTCACAGCCGGTTGGTGGTTGGGTGTTTGGGTGTCATGCCAGTTTTGCTGAGGCAAGGTGGCTGTGCGAGGCAATTCAAATTTTCCATTTCTGGAATGTATTTACATTCAAAAATGGAAAATTTTCGTTTGGTCTTTGTCAGGGCATACACCCTGACCTAGCCCATACCGCATCCACACCCGCACTCGCACCCGCACCCGTGACTGCACCCGGCTGTTGCACTCCCCGCGCGTGCCCTGTGCTGGATGCTCAGTGCGGCCGGATGGCCCGGACCTCGGGTCTCGGGTCTCATGTGACTTCCGGATATCTCCGGAAGTTTTCGATGTATTGTGGCCACTGTGGGAAGATGAGAAGTTAACTTCCTTCTCATCTCTGACCCACAGTAGGTTGTGCCCTGGACAGGGCTGGTTACACTACAGGCTGTGGACCATAGGGGAGGGTCATGGGGACCCAGGAGTCGTCCCCTGACAGTCTTCCAAGTTTCTTGTGTGCCTTGCTCGCATTCCACGGCCAAGTTCCTGCTCATGAATAGGCACAGGGAGTATGTGAACCTTGTAAATTTGTTTGGAGGACTGGAAGTGTAAACTGGATAAATTCAGTGACAGACAAGTTCCCATCTGGAAAGTAGGATCCAATAAAATCACCCGGGATGTCGCTATATGAGATAGTCTCATCCGTACACAAAGCAATGCGGTGTGCAAGGGTAAAACCGTTCATGAGATGATGCACAGATGCTCAGAAATTTTATGGGGGCGGTGTTTTCAAATGTTTAAATTTTAAATTCAAGGTGGTTAACAATTTAATATAAGTAATATAATTCGGACAACTCCGCAGCGCCCCGCCGGTTGGGTGTCACGCGTCACAACGAGTTGCCGGTTGCCGGTTTATATCACGTGACAAGTCACGTGGCTGACTAAGCCGGTAGTTGGTCATGTGAGTACAGTAATCGGGCGTAACTGGTTATAAATCAATATCAATCATATATCTCGCCCATAAGTGCAAGCGTGACACCTTCGATACGCAAAGATTGTTGCCGGTTTTTTATTTCTCCTTAGACGCTGGAGTATCCTTTATAATATCTGAGGGATGCGCTCCCCAGCCCCTTAAGCGCATACACTCAAGGTTGAGGCAAGCACTCCTTGATTCATGTTACGTACCTACTGACGCCACGCACATTACCTGCCAGTCTAATAGCAGGATTTCTCCAAAGTCACAATGCGATTCTGGAATGCTTTTGTCGCAATCGCTCTAGTTCCGGTTGTCGCAGCTGACTTCTACTTCGGCCAGGTCGTGTGCTACGCCTGGAATCTCAGCGTTGTTGAAACTTATGCGACTATGCTCCCCGCGAACAACAGTGAGGCGAAGTCCAAAATGGATTTTGCTCCTGCTTAACCAATATTTTCCAAACAGACAAATGCCTCACTGCAGTGAAACCGGATTCCGAGTACTACCAGCAGCAGCGCCACCATGTATACGGCTCCACAATGACCGCGCAGATTTGCGGTGCTAGCATTACGGTGACACTTCACAACTCGCACACCCCTCCCTCTTGGACTAGCTCAGATGGAGGAAGTGGAAGATGTATCAGCTTGGATCCTAGTTTGAAGGGGAACCAACCACTTTGCGGCAAATATTTCCCTAAACTCGGCCTGTTACCATGCGCATACACGATGAACGGCGTCTGCGATTCGTACTTGTGCAAGTGACCAATAACAGAAATCCGAAATCTTTGGCATCTGGGACGCGCGCTAGCTGCCTTGTCACAAGACCTGTTTATGTTCAGGGCCAGAGAGTACTGTAAAATACGCTCGAAATGATGATTGCCATTTTCATAATTCAGAGATGAGCACTGGGTCGGTGCATGACGTCACGACCATACAACTTAAGGCTGGTCACCTCCCTTGATCAGAGGTATCACCACACCGTTCTGAGCCTCGCCAAGCTTGAGGCGACAGAAGTTGTTTCGTCGAACGCGTCTCTGACTCTGAACGCCTCAAGGCATAGTTACCCGCCTCTCTAACGTTATCGAGTCAAGACTCCCAGCCCGTGCCGACTTTCGTGGCTTCGGCGAATAGCATCGGCTCAGAAATATAACAACAATTCATACATGAACCTCTCGAAAATAAGACATCCGCTACATCAAAGGTCCTGCGGCGCCCGGTGGGAGTCTGGGAGTGAGGATGGGTTCCTATTCCCCCGATTGGGTCTCAAAATTATATAACTGACTAGCCTGGGGAGAGCGCTGGCACAGCATGGCAGTGCTCTGGTAGTTGGGAGAGCAAAACCGAGTTTGCTGATGGAGTTCGGGGGAAAAATGAATATGGGAGGTTATCGCTCCTTGTTTGGGAATACCGTAAGGAGGGTTGTCTGACAAGGAAGACTGACCACAGTCATGGTAGCTAGTCTGAGCAGCGTGCCTTGCCTGTATAAAGTGTGCACGATTGTGACTTGGAGCCATCTTGGAGCAATTTGAAATTGGAACCGGAAAGCGTTTCATTGAATTAGCAAGTGGACCGAGGTCCACATCAGCTCTCATCTCAGTGTTCTGTCAAGATGACATCTAAATTTGCTTCTGACGCAACACGATCATAACATCGGATATATATATAGCAGCATCAGCACACTGAGCTTCAATGTGGCCCGAGACCGTTACATATCAAGAATCAATTCGTCCGAAGGAAACCTCCTTGACAGAGAATATATGTCCCGCCATCCTTTGCGCGCCCGCAGCTTGAACTAACGGATGCTCCCTGTTATGTCATCTCCCACGTAGGGCTACTCCTGAATTTCCCCGATCCTTGATTCCTCGCTTTCAATATCTGCCCATAGTTACGGCACCGCAGTGATCAATATCATAGCAACAGGAATGGAGCCAAAGGACTAGAACAAAAACCCTGGAATTAGAGCCCGAGCGACACGCTAGAGTCATGGATACAATCAGACTCTTACCCAGTTCGTTGTCGCTCCGTGGACGCGCGAAATCTGAGCTTTTTTGTTACTAAGTACTTTTATTCAATACTAAAGTAGTCACGTTGGGATTGAAGCACATGATATGAAAACGTAATCACAAGTTCCAGTCACATGGTACGGAAATAAGGCAATTAAACCCGATCACCTACTCCGAAAAATGAACGCGACACTTCGCTCCAACGACTGGCACAATTTGGCGGTGGCGGTGTTCTCGGTAACATCCGGAAATAATACTTCGATCTCAGAAAGGCATCCTCGCCGTGTCCCCTTGTCCCTCCACCACCTTTCACACCATGAACACACCTGCAGATCGCGTAGAAGATGTATTTAAATACATGCTAGCTAATGGACTCACCCTCACATCATTCCTATCAATCATTTTGACCTCCGTGCAATTTGGAGACAAATTGCGGGAAATGCAACTCCATATCCTCAGTACTACCGAAGATCTTCATGATGCCACTGTTGTGAGAAACTGGATTCTCACAAGCGCCCAAGCAGTTTACATCAAAGAGATACAAGCACTCATGGAAAAAGGGAACGGACTCCACATGAATGCCTCCAAACTCCATCCAGCACAGCTCGAAGTGGGGAAAACCAGCGTACTGAGGCCGCTATTTGAGTCCAAGGCACCGGCACTTTGGAGACTGCTCCAACACCTCCTTGTGGTGGAAAGCAAGGGACGAGAAGGACGCAGGGCAAAGGTGGTACCGAGTCGAAGTGCCGGGTTAGGTGCCGGAAGAGATGAAGATGGTTGTGGCGATCATGTTAGTGCAGGGCACCAGTCAAAGGGAAACAATAGGGAGAGGAACTACGCCCTGCTTCAAATTGTAAGCTATAGCGTGCAATACATATTATGTATGACTTACTCTGAAGTTTTGGATAGAAAGGAGTCGTAATCTTATCGATAATCTTGCATGGTTGCAATGAACAGTGCAATGCATTGCAGGTGAAGAATTCATTCTATTTGGCTGCTTCGAATGCTTCGAAATCCGTCCGTCAGTGGGCTGCGCATGCCGGACTTGCAGTCTCCCCCTCCTCACTGGATAGCCTTCGAATGTCACTGATAAGGGACCAGAAGGAGTTGAATAAAAGCCTTGGGTCCACTCGAATAGTGAACTTAGCGTACGACAACTGTGACTTCAAGTTTGGTGTTGGCCAGCCAACAGATCTTAAGGACTGCACATTCGAGAGCATCACTACGGGACTTTTCTTTGCACCCCCAAAGGAGGTGCTTCCTGAGCACTTAGAATACGCTGAAAGTATATGGGACTCACATCCAAACAACCCCAATGCTCCCAATGTCCCACCGATGATCACCTTTGCCGATGTCCTACCGACTACCGAAGCTACAGTCAGAATCATGGCACACTGTCGGTGGCACATCACATCAGTATTGATCGAAGAACACTTCCCTGAGCTTCGATCTCATCTTCTTGATCCTCCATCGACGTTCCAGTTGTCACCGCAACAAATGTTGTACTCTACCGCAGAGGCAGTGTATGCGAAGGCATCCACAATTGATGGGAATATTGACGCTATCATGTCACTTCTCCAGCAAAGTGGCATCGTGGAAGCGGGGGTCTTCGAGAAATACATTATTCTTGTACATGGGGATCTTGGTACAGTTGAGAAGGTCGAAGGGATTTTGCGATCACGGCGCATTGAAGAAAGCGCGCTTGAGCGCATGCATTATCTTGTGGCTATACCAGGACTGTTTCATGTCAGAATGGCATGTGTTGATGCGATGAATAGGATTCATGCAACTGGGAAGGACTCACGAAGTGACCCAAATGGGTTGTACAAGCGCCTCTGCTTGCTCTTCCCAAATGACCTTTCTAAATTAAACAAGGCAGTCCCACCCTTTCAAATGATGAATGATGGAATAAATTACATTACCCAATGCACCATTCTTGACGCGTGGACGGAGAATGTTGGTGGCGACCTCCAGAAATTTGTTGAATCCAAGCCAAGCCTTGAGGTGATTCAACGACGCGCCGAGCATATTGCAAAGGAATACTTCGAGACGAAGTGATTTGATGAAGATCAGCAACTGCCAAATCGTCCAGACCAAAGGCAAACGAATCAGGTCTTGTTCAATAGAGATGCGATGTACTATCGCATCCTCGTGCACGCTATGAATCATGGAATGGTGGACGTGGTAGTCGATATCCTTTCATTCTGGATTCCGATTTTCCAGGCTTGTGGGAAGCATAAGTATGCGTCATACCTTTTAAATTTTCTCTTCAAGCTACAACAGTACCCCGCACCACTCCGCACAGCAATTATGAGGTGCTGGCTTTGTAATCCTGCAGGGAAGAAAGCAGGCTTTCGGGCAATTGATTGGCTTGTCGAATTGATGAACCTCTACATAAAGGTGCACAATGAACTCATTATTTGAATGTTCGAATTCTAACGAGAAACACGTAGGTCGTTTATTCGGGGACAGGATCTACAAAAACAATAGAATATATAATTAGTCAATCATCAATTATCCAGGCATATAGAACCTGCATCGAGGATGTGGAGGAAGATTATCACATACCAGAAAAGACATTGCACCATGCCAGCCCAGATATAGAATCCAGACTAGTCGCTATCATGAAAGACCTTCGTAACCTTCGACCTCACAAGTACGAGAAAGGACGCACTTCACCTACTATGATCGAGGATCATTTCCAGAAGGGTTTGGAGCTGTTCCAATGTGGGATGATGTGGCGCATGATTAATCGTGGTGACCTGGAATTGACAGATGACACATACGAAATTGATGCCGCTGATCTGGCTGCTTAATTGACAATATCTTGGGCCGAGACGCTGAGTGAGTGGCGGAGTTTTCCTTGTTTGGGCAACGGTTCTCTAAGTAATGGCACAAGAGAATGTCATCTTTGTATTTACGCTTGCATGCAACTTACTGGTATGACCACTCTGATGACAGTTCTTACATGGCTCAGGACAAGTTCGTGCTAATCCGGACATCAGTTCGTAAAATATTGCAACTAGTCATGGTAATAGTAAGCTCACCATTGTGGCCATGTTTCTCACAGTTGCCACATTTTTTCGAGCGAGGTTGAACTGTAGCACCAGCTTCCACTGCCACGGATGGCTGAGCAGATGACTGAGTGGATGGTGGTGGAGCTGGTGGAAAAACCTGGTGAATAATCGGTAATAACTCCGATGCGTAGCGTGCACGTTCTTCCCAATCAACAAGTTGTATGAATTCTTGCTCACTCAAGAGTTTGTTGCTATTCGCAAGATAGATAATATCATCAATGATTTTGTTGCCAATTACGATCCAGTCCCCTATCCACATATGGTCCAGCCGATCAGAATAACGCTTGGAAAATTCAGCTTTCCTCCAGTCACGGAGTGCTGAGTTGAGTTGAGACGAACGAATCAGGTCCTTCTTATAACCTGGTTTCGCATGTTGAGGGGCCCATTTAACAGATTGTTCTGCAAGTTCATGGCCAAACATTGTAGCTGTGAGAGTAGGGTTATGAAGATCACAGCACGAGGTGGGGTTGCGCAAGTCACAATGGTTACAGCAGCTGCGGGGGATTGCTGACATAATTTGGGATGAGCTGCAGGCACATGTCAACGACATCAATACATACGGATGCGGTCATTACCGAAGTGAACATCTAGGACTTTCCTCCAGCACCCATGGCGAAGGTCATCTTTTGGAAGCCAGTGGGCATTGATGAAAGTGTCCAATCCAGGGTCAACATTCTCTCGGTCCCCGGGGTTCCTTCGGTGAGTCTTCTTTTTTGATTCCTTTGACAACGTTGTTGCAGGCCCCACAAGCCCCTGGCTGCACGGGTCCTCATTTGGGCTCATGTTTGTTGTATCACCCGCTAGTGATTGCGATTTTAGCTTCTGTGTGAAGTTCTAGTGGGGGAGCTCAGTGAGGGCCACTTACGCGCACTCTGGCTTTCCACCGCTTCCAAACAGGACATCTCCCAGTCCAGCTCCCTCTCGACGTCGTCTAACAAGATCTCAAGATCCATCGGTGTTGCTTCTTCCCACTCATTCTCTCCTGAAGTGAGGTGGCTTTCACCCTCCACATTTGCATTCTGGAGTGGAGCGTCTAGAGGAATATCGATGTCGCTCGTTGGCCATACATCCATTCTGGGTGGTAGGTCGGGGTCAGGACAATGAATTTCAAGTAAGTGATTGTCAAATTCTTGGTGCTCCATCAAGGCAGCATTGATTTGATTTTCTGAACAGAGCCTCTTTCGTCGCCTGTCCCCAGTCACCGTTGGTCTCTTCTCACTGGACACTGCTGCGTCAGCCTTCCGTTTCTTGTTCTCAGCTATCTTTCGGGCCCTTTCCTCTCGCCGCTGCCGTGTGCCCTCGAAATATTCCTTCGGTGCCAGGAGAATAACGATGGCTGCAGTTTCAGGATTACGTGCGGCCCTTCCGAATCGCTGAGTCAATGTGTTCAAGTTGTCAGGTGGCCCGAACTGAACCAAGCAAGTGATGTTCGCTAGGTCATGGCCCTGTTTGACTTGAATTAGATAGATGACACTGGGGATGTGAGTAGAGTTACCAGCCCCAGCGACTCCGTACTTGTGAGTCCAATAAGCTTTCCCTCCTTGAGCAACTTGACTGCCATTAACTTATGACCATCTGACATCCCCGAATGTACCCAAATAATCCTATTTCTGAGCATCGTGCACACTCGAGACCTCAGGAAGCCAGCACTGCGCTCAGCATCAGCGCGGGACTCGCAGTACACAAGAAATGGCTTTGGAAGAGGATCGGATTCTTTCAAACCTAGTGGGACAAGGAATGCTAAGTCATTGCAAGAATCCTTGCTATATTGCATCTGACGGACGCAATAATGCAGGTTTGGACGGTCATTTGAACGACGCAACCATTTTGTTGTCTCCCCACCGTGATCACTATAATATGGATCCATTCCAATTGCTGACAATACTTTTCTGCATGTGCGAGGGTCCAAGGTCGCAGAAGTGAGGTACCATTGGCATCGATTCCGGAGGTATGAGTAAAGCCAGGCTAAGTTCGTATATTTTGTTCGGAACGACAGCCACTGGACTGCACAGTGGGCCTCGTCAACAATGATACGATTAATGTTACTGACAAAGCTGTCCTTCATCCAGAGTGGTCTAAGGAGGTTCCCTCGGAGCAAATCGGGGCCCAGGACAACAAATTGATATCTCATACTTGCAATCGCCTACTTAGTAAGTCAACATGGATTTACATATAAGTATGCAATTAATCCTTGCTCAAGTATGTACGTGCCTTTACAACATCCTTGTTAATGGTCCTTGCTTCCAGTGCAATTGCGGTGAGTCCTAATTTCTCTGCGCTCTCTACATGCTGATCTGCAAGCTTTCTCAGCGGCGCGATTATGAAAGAAACCCCTGGTTTTTTTTTTTCATAGAGTGCAGGAAGGAAAAACGTGTATGTTTTTCCAGTTCCTGTTGCAGCTGTTGACACTAAATTTTGCTTTGGCTCACAAAGGAGAAACTCGGCGATTTCAGCCTGGAACCAGCATGCACAACGATTCCATTCTGCTTCACTTAGGGCTCTTATTTGCTCAGCAGAAGGCATCTGGCCTGGTTCTACGCGATCTGCAGGTGTGTTCATGGTGTGAAAGGTGGTGGAGGGACAAGGGGACACGGCGAGGATGCCTTTCTGAGATCGAAGTATTATTTCCGGATGTTACCGAGAACACCGCCACCGCCAAATTGTGCCAGTCGTTGGAGCGAAGTGTCGCGTTCGTTTTTCGGAGTAGGTGATCGGGTTTAATTGCCTTATTTCCGTACCATGTGACTGGAACTTGTGATTACGTTTTCATATCATGTGCTTCAATCCCAACGTGACTACTTTAGTATTGAATAGATATACTTAGTAACAAAAAAGCTCAGATTTCGCGCGTCCACGGAGCGACAACGAACTGGGTAAGAGTCTGGGATACAATATTGAATCAAATCAAACGAAGGTATCATCATGTGCGAAATAGTTGGCAGACCGTGCAAGAACGAGGGGCAGAGAGAATAAGGTACTAGTGCGATGAGCGAATCATTGTCAACTTGGGGACAATAATAAGCAAGATATGCTGTAATTGTTAAGGTGTTGGGTGTGCTCGTTTCTATCAAGAATCGACTAATTTTGAGGTGGCGCATCTCAGCGAACAGTTGCAAGAGTGGACAAGGAAGGCTCACGTACTCTCCGATATTTTTCTTACAAAGGTAACTGTCTCTTTTGCTCTCTTTTCCAATACTGCAAAGATTGACTAGGACATGCTCCGACGACGGCAGCTCTCAGCACGACGTCCCAAAATCTCCGTGATTTCATCCTCCGAGTCAACATATGTCGAGGTGGGCACAATTCGCCTGATCCCTCCCTTGAGTCGTGGACTACTATCGAATAGTGAAGTCATCGTGGAGGAGAGTACCCGCTCAGCAGATAATGTCTCTTGAAGACGGGTCCAGCACATGCTCAAGAGTGCTCGCATCAGCGTCCAAGCAAGACGACACGGACTTCAGAGGTAGAGTAGCTAGAAGCCAGACAACTTGGTAAAAGCGATGGTTCAGACAAATATGCTGTCTATAATCAGATTTGGGTTGCCTCGAGCGATGGACACCCTCCTTGACCAGTTTGGAAGGCTGAATGGGCAAAAGACAAGGAATGTATAGGGACCAAGACTGGGGTAAGTAGCTCGTTCCGTCACACAATTTGGATCCCGAGATTTACCTTGTGGTGCGGTGTACCTCCTTGTGAAATCCTCCAGCGTTGTTTCTGCGCATATCGCTAGCCTTGTTACGTGGTGGATGAGCATCTTACCTACACCGAGGATTGGACGCCTCCTCAAAGGGGTTTCCCTTTAATGAACCGTCCTCGCGAGACTCGAATGTTGCTCCCCCTTCAGAGCAAGGAATGTGGGGCCCGGCCCACTGCCATTGAATCTGATTCTCATGCTCTAAAGCAGGGGTTGGCTCGACCATGCTCATGAGCCGCTCTTCCGGAGAATTCAAGCTCCAAGTCCGTCAGATTTATGGCACCACCCAGTAATGAAGTTACGATTGTGATATGCGAGGAACGACGCGTGAGTCGTAAGGCAAACTGGCGAACGAGCTCGAGCCCTTGCGACCCGAGCGTTTGCGCCCAAGACGTATAGTTGGTGGCACATTTTTGTTCCCACGGACGCGAGATCGGCGAGCTGAGGAGCGCACTCTCGGGATTACGGGCATCTTCTAATATTTGACGGACGGTTGGAATGAATGATCCAAGTAAGGCTAAAGGTCGATGTGCGCATCAAGAAAGTGAAAAGAGGGATATGAGGTTTCAGCCGTATCAGAGGACCTGCTCCGTTAAGCACACACAGTCGAGAGGCGTTGTAAGAGGGAGGTAGTGAGTAGCGTTTAATATAGTCAAGCGCAGTTTGAGTGGCCGTGCACAGCGTGGGAACAAATCCAAACCTCGATTCCAGGCAGGTAACCAGCCTCTTTAAGCTTGTTCACCCATCGACTACCGAAAGAATGGTGTCCTTCCTACAGCATAGTGATCGCACCTCTTTTACATAGACTCGCATCGCCGAACTTCCCTCCATGTCTTTGCAAACCCTCCATCTGGACGTGCTGGTAGAAATATTAACCTATCTCGAAGTCTGCGATATTCTTGCACTGCAGCGTGTGAGCCTCAGATTAACATCCACATGTATGTATCAATTCCAACTACCGGATAAACAGACCCGCAAGGATATTAGAGATGTTACCCGACTTCATGCAGTGTGGAAGAATGTCTTGGAAAAGCAGATAATCCCC